ATTTGTGGTAAATGAAAAACGATTTCATCGTTGTTATTGAAGTTGATTTGTATTGAATTTCCCATGCAACTGGTATCAATCTCTTTGATGTGGTCACAGGAAACTTGTACCGTTTGGGAGTTAATGGTCTTTGAAAGAACGGTGCAATCGAAGCGAGTGATCGGTTTGTCTTCCATTTCGGTGGTCTGATCAATAGTTGCAATCTGGTTGATGTCAGTAGTACGTTGAAGTTTAGTTGAATTGTTATCACCGAAATTCGTTTTCGGAATGTTTTTAGGTATTTTTTCTATTTCCGTATCTGATTCAACTTTGCCAGCTCCGCTAATTTCTTCACCCTCATGAACACAATCGACTCCATCGATGTTTGTTTTATTTATGGGATAAATAAGAAGCGTATAATGTCTCTTTGGTAAGAATGTGGCTAGATAATCACATGAAAAGTGATTTTTCGAGATGCACAGCGAAGAAAGGCTGGGAAAAATCTCTCGGTTTACACTCCGAAGTTCGGTCAGTTCGTTTCCTTCCAGACGAAGAGTCTTCAAAAATTGAAAATTTCGAAACAAAAGCGTGAAATTGACTTTTTTCAATTGATTGAACGATAAATAAAAAATTCGCAAATTTTTCTGGTGGTAAAATGTGGCGAAACCAAAATTGGACAAATTCGTTCGACTCAAATTTAATTGTTGCAAATTGGTGAACTTTTCAAATGTGTGGACATTTAGCTTCCCGACGAAATTGGACGACACATCCAATGTTTCCACGGAATTTCCAAGCCAGTCAATGATTTGCGGACCATTTTTTAGTTGGTTGCCAGAAATATTGAAATACCATAGTCGCTTGAATTGCTGCTTTGAACAAACTAATTCGAAATTTTGACTTTTTACGTGGAAAACAATGTCTTCTCTTTCGTTTGAGTCAATTTTTAGCGCATTTGCAATGGCATTTGTATCGATCTCCTCAGCATGGTCACAAGACACTTTCACTTCAACCGAATTCATCATGGGCAGAAAAACATTTGAATCGAGTCGTGTGATTGGATTGTCATTTAAGAGTAAAACTTGCAATTTTCGACCACTTTCTGGGAACAGCAACGGATTTAACGTATCGGCATCAATGGTCGTTAAATTGGTGCTTTGTAAATTTAAATACTTCAAATTGATCAAGTTTCTGAATGTTTCTGCTGTCAATTTTCCGATAAAATTTGAAGATGCGTCCAACGTTTCAATCGGTGATCCAAAATGCTGGATTACTTCCGACGTGTTTTGAAGTTGATTGCCTGAGATATTGACATATTTGAGATCCGACAAAAAATTCAGTTCGTACGATTGTGAGTAGCTTCCAGATGCTGTTTTCACTGCAAATCCACCAGAAAATTGGACGTTTTCTCTTAACGAAGTTGTATCGAACTCTTTGATGTTGGTCAAGGTGATATCGACTGAAGCTCCATTTGATAATGACGTGAGAATATTTTTATCAATACGTTGAATTGGATTATTCCCCAAATAAAGTCGTTCCAGTTTTATGTTATTTTGAAACATGTTCTCATCAATGGCCTCAATAGAATTGGAACTTAAATCCAAGTGCGTCAATTCTGTCAATTCCGAAAACATGTCTTGGTGCAAACTTGACAGTTTGTTGTTAGCAAGATTGATGCT